ATTTTTTAAAAAAAAAAAATATATATATATATATATATATTTTTTTTTTTTTACATAGGGGATATGACAGTCCCAGCCATGATTCTAGCAGGAAATTGTGCTGTTAAGGGAGAAATTTTTTTCATCCACACAACATGTTTTTTTTTTTTTTTTTTCTTTTTTCCTGGCCGTCTGTCAGATCTTTCTTCTGGTGACCTTTGGGAGCCCACAGGGGAAAGTGTTCGCGTTGTTTATCCTCTATCTTTCTTTGGAAACTCAAGCTGAAGGTCATTGTGAGACGTAGTAAGATATCTTATGGAAACCCCCCCTCCCCTTGTTCTGACAGTAGCTTTGGATGTCTGAGAGGAAGAGAGGGGTGGGGGGCAGTGTCAGTGAAGGACTGGCTGGGAGTGAGTGATGGTATGTGTTTTTTATACAGTATATATAAATATAAAAATATAAATATTCAGTTTTCAGACCAAACCGGTCCGGTACCCAGTCTTGGACGGCCTCGTAGCGGTCCTCGGCCCTCTGGTTGGGAAACTCTGATGTTGACCTCGTAGCGGTCCTCGACCCTCTGGTTGGGAAACTCTGATGTTGATTATCTGCCGTCAGTGTTTGCATGTATCTAGTAAACTGCCACTGCTGTCATTGTACCAGTGACAGGCGCTGCATCCAGAGATGTGTCCCCACATCCTTACAAGAAAACGAAAAAGACTGAGGGCAGCAGGTGTCGCGTCCAGAACGGCAGTCAAGTTAAGGTCGTCTGCTGCGCTTGACCTCATTCCTCAGGCAGAGGAACAGAATTTCTGCTTTATTCTTCTATTTTTTGTTGCGTGAGGATGGTGAGAGTTAATGACAGGTGCGTCTCTCATCGTGTGATGTAGCACTTCTGCATTGTAGGGACACTGGTATTATCTCTCCCCCCTCCAGGGCCTGGCTGCCTGCTGACTGTGGGCTCCCCTCCCTGCTGAGTTTCACTTCCTCTGGATGAGAGAAATAGCACGAAAGTATCTTCTTATCTAGGCTACAGATGCCCAATATAATCTGTCTTGTATGTGCGTTTTATTTGTAAGCAAAATATAGGGCAGCTCCGTAATGCAGCGTGCAGACAGTGTGTGTGTGTGCGCGTTTGGCACTAAATAAAATATTGAGTAGTAGTGTAAAAGGCTTTTATGTGAAAAGATAAAGCAGTCATGTTTGAACAACCGAGACAGGTTGACCCGAGCTTAAGGACACACACTCTGCCTCCAGTCGCTCCCTTAGAAAATACAGTGCTGTTTTTTCGTCTTCTTTTTTTTTTTTTTTTCCCTCTTCTTTTATTGGATGGAACACACAAGGCCTGTGCATCAAAGGCGAAACAAACACCTCAGCGCCACTTTCACACACTGAATTTTTAATGCGGCTACACGACCTGTGGGGCAGAAGAGCGATTTCCATATCAACCACCAGACAACACAAGTGTATTACTGAAAACTGATAACAAATAAAACTATGTCAGCCGATAATATCCGCCCGATATTAGCATAATTATGTAATATCTGTAAAAATCGTATTAAATTTTTCCTCCCATAATGAAAACCTGATAAAATCTGTAAAAATCGTATTTAATTTTTCCTCCCATAATGAAAACCCGATAACGCAATGTCTGGGTTTAGCCAAATGATGTGTGATCTAAAAATAGTTTTGGGGAAAAACGGCTGTATATGAAAGTGAAAGTCACTAGATGGCAGCATTGGAACTGTATGGGGGATTGTATGCGGAAAGCTGGTGCCAGCAACTTATACAGTGCTTTAAACAGATAAATAGCATCAATATAAGACAATCCACAGTAATTCAGTTCCCCCCTAGGTGGCGGTATTGCAGAACATATTTGAAAAACGCTGCTAACCCATATAAATAAGGTGTTTCGACAATTTCGGCATATCGGTAAAAAGTCTGAATGTGTGTTTAGGAATTATTATTAAAGCAACAACAACAAGAGATGACATATGACAAGCAAAAAAAAAAAAAAAAAATGCAACCTAAGCAAAACGCTAAACTCTTTTTTTCCAGGAGTTTCTGATCACCAAGAAGAAGGACAGAAAGTAGTTTTTGTTGCCTTCTGTGGCGTACCTAATTATATTAGTTAAATATAGACATAAACAGAAATGGATGGCTGCAAAAGCCTGCAGAAAAGTAACATTCTGAGATGTTTGTAAATAAGGTTGGTTAACTGGTAGGAGTGTTGTGGAATAAAATCCCCGAGTATACAGAAACTGCCAAAACCCTCAGTCTTTCCATGAGAAAATGGTTTGCGGCTCTTTGTGTAAAACTTTGGGAGAGAAAAGTCTGTGTTTGACACAAAACTTCCCAGGACACGAAAGCAAAGAATTCGGGACTATTTTCAGTTAATGCTCTGCTTAATAATATTATGGGAATACAAAACACACAGTGTTGCTTTTGACGCTGAACCAAAAGCTCCAGGCTTCAATTGTAGTCTAAAAAAAAAATCCTACCAAAAATGTCAATGTGGTAAAACTGGAGACTTCCTGCACCTTTGATGTTTTGTGGTTGCCTCATCATCTCCCATAGATTTATTCAGAAATGATTGTTCCGTCATTTCAATGTATGTCATAAATTCACAAGTTCAACAGGGGAGCTAGTTGGTGGACAGATGCGTTGTCACTTGCGGACAAAAGATTTGTTTACGTTCGTGTGGTTTTTGTGGCTCGTTGGTCTACAGAAATATTTTCACCCCTCACCCTCTCCAGACCAACACCCCCATGAATTTAATACTATACTATCGAGAACCTGATAACATGTATATGTTTATCTGTACAAATCACTGTATGAGTTGCTGCCACCTAGTGACTTTACTTCATTCAAAGAAAGTCCAGTCATGCCCATTTACTTTCTTTATTTAAAGATAATCAATTAAAAAAAAAGAAAAAAGAAAGAAAAAAACTTTTAATTTCTCAGGTTAAGCTCCCACGGGCCACACAAAACGGCTTGACGGGCCGCATTTGGCCCCCGGGCCTTGAGTTTGACACGTATGCTTTGGATTGTGCTACAGTCGCTTTCTTTTGTTTGTTTTTTTATGATGTTAGCTCGGCGTTAGCGTATGTGAGCGACATAGGTACTTAAACAGTACAGCATGTGAGTTCTGATTTACGACCAAAATCAAGTTGCATTGCGCCATAGGAACAGAATTCCGACGTAGGTCGAGGACAACCCTGTATGTAAGATCTTCTGGTTTGGCCTGTTTGGTGGAACACAACACTGACATACTTGCAGGAATTTAAGAAAGACACAAAGAAAGCCTCATATATTTTCTTAAACTTTTATAGCCATGTAGTGCCACCTAGTGGTAGAGTACTTAATAGGCTGTCATTGTCGTAGAATGAAGACACATTTTAAGCAATTTATTAATAATAGTTTCAACACCAATTTCATTGCTATCTGGTAGCATTTGCGTGCTGTGAGGTCACATGTCTCCAGCGCTTTTCGCCCTCCCTAACTGCCCCCCCGCCCCACCTTTCTTACGACTGAGCGCTTTAATGGACAGCTTAAATCACACAATTCTGATTAATGTGCACACCTGTGGGCCGTGTGCGTCTCAATGACACACCCCAGTGCCGCGCATGCACACCAGGACCGGCCAGCGAGGGGCAGTGTTCCATGAGAAGAAATGAAATTAAAAGAGTGAAACAAGGGAAATCAAACCATCACAACTGTGGACTTCTCCCATAAATTTCATCTCTGGCCTCACTCCTTACCTCACCTCACCTCACCTTACCTCACCCCCAGTCAGCGGCTAATGTACAAATCGCCGTACCAGACATGTATTGTTAATACAGAGCATATGTGTCCGTTCCGGAGTCGGGTCAGTTTCGTGCTAATCAGTGATATATAGACGGGTGATGTTAAACAAATAAATGTCTGCGGTTCATCGTAATTTCATAACGCAAAACAGTTTTGACAGTAGATGGACTTCGTAGTATTTATGTTTTCTGATCACGGTTCTACGCCCTGGAGTACCAACGGTCACAGTTTCTTCTTGATTTTTTATTTTTTTATTTTTTATTTTTTAATACAGAAGAATCAAATGACAATGACTTCATCTCCTTTTCCACAGCAGAGGTTCTTCAGTGACACCAGATGATGTGGTCTGTTAAATACTCTGAAGTCACTTTGGTGTCAAACTCAGTGAATCTCAGTGGCAAAGGATGGTTTTAATGAAAACAGTTTCATCATCTCTTTGACAGGTGCAGAGAGAGTTCAACTGAAAGGATCTTCTGCCCCCATTTGGTAGAAGAGCAGAATGCAGTTCTCGGCAATCAGGTTTGTGGCCTCTGAGAGCACCAATGTATATTTTTATTTTTAATAATCTATCTCAAGATCTTGAGTATTTGAGTCAGAACTTAAGGCCTAGTTGGGGAGGGAGGTGTTAGGAATCACATCCCAGAACAAATGCGATACAAAAACTACAAAACAGGATCACCACAATAAGAAAAAAGAAAAGTCGATGATCCTTGTATTTGGGTTATTTGGATCGATGTGTTTGCAGATGATGCTGCGATCTGCGGTGAGAGTAGAGAATACATGTGTGTTAATGAAAGGAGACGGGTGAGCTAAACGATGCTAAGACTAGAGGTAGCCAAGATGGATGACCTTAAATACACAGGCTCAACCATCCAGAGTGATGGACATCGGAACGTAAGGAAAGTTGAAAGTCAGTGAGACGTGCTATGATGTATGGTTTAGAGACAGTGACACTGCCTCATGGACAAAACGCTGAGACGACAGTGACAAAGATGAAGATGTTGAGATTTTAACTGGGAGTGAACAGAACAGACCAGATTAGAGGGGCAGTTAAGGTGGAGCAGTTTGGAGACAACGTGACGGAGGTGAGGTTGAGGAGACATAATGACCTTATTGGACAAAGGATGTTAGAGAATGAGTTGCCAGGTAAGAGGAAAAAAGGACATGGAGACGGTCACTGTATCTTCACAACGATTGTTAATATCTGAATGATGATGCACCCAGGGCAGGATTTTGGCGTAGGCGATATAGGCGCCATCTGCTGGAGGAGCACCACCAGTTATTCAATTGTATTAGTATGTGTATGTGTTGGTGGTTTATCTTACCTCGGGCGCCAAATTGGGTTTATGCGCTGGTTGAAACTAATGTTGCAAAGTACTTGTAATCATATTTTAAGTATAATTAATGGCGAAAAAAAAAAAAAAAAACTTGCCGGTGGGTCAAATTGTTTTTGGTTTGCTCATTGCTATGCAGATCGTGTTGCTTTTTTACAGCGTGACACTGATGAAAACTGAATGGCCTCTTGTGTACACCATTACTGTAAGTGCTTTTCACGATGGTATCAATAAATCCGTATGTGATCAACTGGTCGGGTTTTATGACAGTGTTGGAGGTATGAAAAAAAAAAGAAATATTTCAAGCGGTGACACTTATCAGGGATTGAGGGATTGAACCGATAACGTGACCTTTGGAATGACACATGTTTTAAGGAACCACTAACGTGACCTTTGGAATGACACATGTTGGCTCTGCGGTGAATGTAATCACAAAAAAAAAAAAAATCACATTATACGCACACACACACATAATCAGCAACAAGAAAAATCCTTTACTTGAAACCCCGTGCGTTCCCTTGAGCTAAACTGAAGGTAAATGATTTTCTCTAAGCTAAGGTCAGTGATCACAGCCTGGATTCTATTTCCTTTCCAGTAGCAGTAAATAAAGAGCTGATGTGCAGCCTCTAATAAAAAAAAAATTTAAAAAGCGTAAGGCATGAGGTCAGTTGAGGTCAATTTACTAGAAAGTTTAACACTCTCTTAAGAAGGACTGCTCTTTTTCTCCTGTTCACGTGTATCTTTCGCGCCTACTTCATTTTCTTGCCCTTGGTTCAGTGGTCAACCATAAGCCTATCGGGGTAGGGCAGGGATGTGCTTATATGTCAGTGGTGATGGTGGGGGCTTTTCTGTGTGCAAGAGTATTAGCACAGCTAAAAGCAGTAATACTGTCAGGACCAAAGTACATATGAGGCCGCCTTGTGTGTAGAAGAAGGAGGAGAAGGTGAAGGAGTGTAGCGTAGAAGATACTCATTTTCACATGCACTTTACAGGTTGGTAAATTAACCCACACCTGTGGCTAATACCGCCTCAAGTGTGACATCAGCTCCAGCGCCGGCCACTGCTCTTGCTCTTGCTCCACTTCCAGCTCCAAGGTAAGGGCGATTGCAATTTTGAAATTTTGTTACAATATTTCTTTTTGGTTGATATCTTGACCGTTTAACTTTAAAATTATATTGGAATTAAAGTACCGTGGTTTTTAGCATCAATGCTAAATATATCACGCTGTTTTTTTTGCAGGAGGAGATGACAGCTGATAAACAGAATGAGAAACCACAGGGTAAGTCGTGCGATTTTTTTTTTTGGAATAATGAAGGCGCAAAGAGATGCCCAGTACAACCGTTACCGACGCAGGTGTTACTACACGTGTTACTACAGGCTATGGTCATATCCCGCCTAGATTACTGCAATGCCCTTCTATGGGGTCTGCTCAACAAGACCCCTTCAAAAAAAACAAAAAAAAAACCCAAGTCATTGACTCTTGCTTATAAAATAACTGCAGGTGGCGCTCATGCATCTCTAAACTCATTGATAAATACACCCCATTGTATTCGGACCCACACCCCCGCATATTGAAATACTACTGAGACTCTGAGAACATGTATATTTTTATCTGTACAAACCACTGTATGAGTTGCTGCCACCTAGTGACTGGAGGCTTGTTATCATTCAAGCATTACAGCAGTGGTACACTTATGTCCAGTGTGCCATATTCTATTGGAAGCCCCTTACGCCGCCACCCCTCCGGCACCTCACGTGCCCCCCAGAGGGCCCCGCCCCACTATTTGAGAAGTACTGATCTATGACCTACTATTTTTTTTTTGGAATATTTACTGTAGCTTGATTGTTGATTGACCAACTCAAATTCTCCAAAGTGGCTTTGGATAAAAGCTAAATGTATTGAATATTTACTCTAACTTGATCGTTGATTGACCGACTCATTCTAAGTGGCTTTGGATAAAAGCTAAATGTATTGTAATGTAATGCAATTACAATGTATTTTTTCTTTATATTTTGGGATCTTAATGAAGAACAATTACAATGTATTTTTCCTTTATATTTTGGGATCTTAATGAAGAAAACGAAGCTGTTCCTAAAACTAAATATATACTGTAGCTAAGGAAAAAAAATTGTCAAACTGATTGCTTTCAGTTTTTTTTTAAAAAAGTGCACGGAATCTTTGTTTTCCAGCTCCTGCGGCTAAACCTGAGCAACCTGGAGCTGAAGGGTAAGTTCCCTTCACCAGTAAACAAAAAGGTTTTCTTCAAGTACCTAGGAGTACATTTAAGTATAGTACACAGTGTTAACCAGATTTAGGAGCGAATGTCTAATCTCAATAAGACAAGTCACAGACCGCAGAACGTATTAGCGTGAAATTAATCAGCCAATTGAATGCTTCAACAAGATGGCGGAGTGACACAGAATGAAACCCTAAAGGGGAGATGAGCTAGCAGCATGTCAGATCTTTATCCCTTCAGGCTACATGCACTGGAGCAGAGGCGACGACTTGAGAGTGGATTAAAAGCTTTGCAGCTTTTTAGCTTTAAGAAGCTCAGCAGACTAAAAAACCATGGAGGCTGATGAGAGTTTTGATCCACTCGGTTGTAAACAAACCGTAACATGTACGTCTACAGATGAAAAAAAAAAAAAACTGCTTATATGTAACATTTGTGAGTACGCTGTAAATATGTAAATAATGTGTTTGGGGTTTTTTTCAGGCCCCCCAAACTCGTCTGTCTGAGTAGAAACTCTAATTTTTTTTTTTTTTTGCAGTCATAAAGAATAATATAAAAACAATAAACTACTGTTAAACAATAACAATAATTTTAATAAATTATAATAATTAGTATCGGAGACGTTTGTTATTAGCATAGAATAAGAAGCGATGTGTTTTGCGCAACAACCTGTTCGTATTTGTTCAGGTTTCATTTTGACAACTTGTTGCACTACACGAAGTTGGCCACGCGATGGAGACAAAGATTCGCTACCTGGAAAAATAACAGACTTTATATTCTTTCCTTTTTGTTGATGTAATTGTTTGTTGTAATAGTCAAACTAGTTCTCTTTTTTTTGGCACACTTAAAACATTCGAAATTAATTTTAATTACTACTTTTTGTATTAACCTCGATCTGTTCTAGGACATGACAAGCCAAAACAACAGATGAAATCTTTATAGTTGAAACAACTGACACGATAATTAATATATTGTAGGCAACGGAACACTGACATTTGGGCCATGGATGTCGAAAGTTGTTTTATTTAAAGTTGTTTTTAACTGTTGTTTATCATAGACAGGAGGCAGCCCCTCCACCACCACAGCCACCCGTCGTCATTAACAGGTACTCAGATGATCAGCTCAGATCCATCATCCTGCGGATGAGGGAGCGACACCAGCTCTTCAAGGACAAAGTGCTGGATCACTACGCATCTTCCCCCGAGATAACTCCTCCAGTCAGTGAGTACCAAGACGGCCTACACATCGGGCGGAGGGCAAGGTGCAAGGCTTCACTGATCATCACGTACAATGGCGTGTTGCTTGAATTGGAATCAACATGGCCGCTGTCCAGAGGGCAAGGTGCAAGCTTCACTGATGAATTGGAATCAACATGGCCGCTGTCCTTTTTTCAGCACCTCGGCTCCGCAGACGGGAGTACGCCAGGGTCACAGAGGAGAGGAAGAGACAAGCTGAGGAAGAACGGATAAAGAAGGAGGAGGCTGAGAAGAAGAAGAAAGAGGAGCAGGAGAAGAAGAAGAAGGAGGATGAGCAGAAGAAGAAGGAGGAGGAGGAGAAAAAGAAAGCCGAAGTCAAAGAGGAAGAAAAGAAAGAGGAGGTGAACTTGAAGAAAAAGTGTCAAGATGCTTTCTGGCTGTCTGTGGACACTGTGCTGAAGCCCATCGAGGACAGGATGGACTCTGTGCTGGGTCAGACCATTGACCCTTTCACCGACCTTCGCTACATCGCCTGGCTGAGCGTGGTCACTCTGGCCATTAACTACAACATCTGGTTTATGACTGCTCGCCTGTGTTTCCCGTACCACACAGAGAGCGCCATCCCTGTTTGGTTTGGTCTGGACCTGTTGGCTGACGCCATCTACCTCATCGACACCATCATCTTCCAGCCCCGCAAGCAGTTCGTCCAAGGAGGAGACATCATAGTGAGTCTGACTTGAGTCAAATAACAACCCAGGAACTGTTCCTTTAAAAAAATTGATCTGATCTGATTAACAGATTGGTATGGCTGGTTTGATGTCGTGTATTAGAGAAACAGTGACTGGATAGACGGTGGAGTTATTTGATTGTTATTTGACAGTGCACGTCATTCTGCCCATGGTTTCAAATGCCACATATTAATGAATGTATTTCCACGTGTTGTTTTTGGGCGCCCTATTCATTATATTCAATAATTGACTATTAACTAATTAATTAGGGATGTATCCATGCATCATAATTCGATTCAAAATATCTGTACAATTGTGTGACAATTCGCATCAGTTGAAAAGAAAAATTTAAATCACACATCAAGGCCTAAGGAGCAGGCTGCTTAGAAAGTCAGTGGTCGCATGACACTACACACTCCAGTACAGTAGATGGCGGTATGCGCCCAAAAAACGTTGGTTGTGACCCGCTATTCGACTAAGACATCTGGTCCCTAGCATCAGTTACATTCAAGTGTTCAAACAGAACGTGGAAAAAACGTCTTCTTCCGGTGCTGGTGTCAATCATTGCTAAATTATTCTTGACCACATTTGGTTTTCAAACTATTTTTTTTTCCAGAAAGACAGAGTGAGGACGAAAACAAACTACAGGATATCAGAGAGATTCAAGGTACCGTATCAAGGTATGGCACTATTCCTTTCTCCGACTGTGAGTCGGCGACCTCACCTCGTTTCCCTGCGTCCACAGATGGACATGCTGTCCCTCATTCCTTTTGATCTACTGTACGTCCAGTTTGGATTCAAATCTATTTTCAGGTTCAATCGTTTGCTGAAGGTGAGTTAAACTTTTTATTCACCTCACGTATCCAAAGACGCCCTGAACACTGTTGACGCTTCTGTATCTCTTCCCCCGAGGCCGATACCTTCTTTGAGTTCAGCGATCGGCTGGAGAGCATCTTGGCAAGAGCTTACATCTGGAGGTGAGTTGTACAGGAGGGGCTCAAACTTTTTGGGACAAAAGGCGCAAGGCCAAAAACGTTTGTGAACCTCTGGTCTATAGAACTGGAGAGGTTTTACCTTAATAATAACAGTATCACAAACGGACATGGTTCCTAGCACTGAACCTTGGGGAACGCCATGCAGTCTTAAAGTTATATTATCGGTGGAAACGATCCGATAAACATGATTTTAACTACTAAGATGTAGAATTTACTACTTCAGGCTTCATGGCTGTGGTCTATTTGTTAATTATAATAAGAAATTAATTAATAATAATAACAATCTGAACTTTGTTGATTCCGCAACTGATAATTTTCCGTTCCAACAGTCTTGCTAAACACTACACCGTGGAACCACTAACAGCTGCACCATAGAACCACCCACTTTGTTGGACCACATTGTTGTTGTTGAATAAATTATTTTGGTTGGTGAGGACGTAGCATTAAAGTACTTTCATTAAAATTGCCTTGTCATCATTAATAGAGTGATTCGCACCATCGGTTACCTCCTCTTCGTTTTGCACATCAACGCCTGCTTCTACTATGTGGCGTCCGCCTACCAGGGTATTGGTAAAACCAAATGGGTCTATTCTGGACTGGGCAGTGCGTGAGTACAGTCTCTTCTATTTTCCTGTTTACTTTACCGTCACTAACCACCTTATACATGATCGACTCAGAGTTAATCAATCGTGAAAGTAAATGGTTGGAGGCTGGAGTTTTGTCAGATATTTATATAATTATTGTTTCCATAAGTTTTAAACATTTTTTTAGACATGAAAAAAAAAACGTTTGACATTTTAAATACACCTTTATTATTGGTTGGACAAAACAGAATTTCGTCAAACCCAGTGATACATTTGATTCTGTGTCCAATTTTTTGCTGCTGCTGCTGCTGTTGCTGCTGATGTCCAATTTTTTGCTGTTGCTGGTGCTGCAGTTACCTCAGCTGCTTCTTCTATGCTGAGAAGTCCCTGCTGATGATCGCTGAGCTGCCCTTACCAGACACCATGTTCGGACAGATCTTTCAGATGACTAACTACCTTTTTGGGGCATTATTTATGTCCATCTTTCTTGGGCAGGTAGTCAGCTTTGGACTCTTATCAATCAACATCTCGTTTATAGCTATTGTGTTTTTGTTTGCTGATTTCACAAGTTCGGCAGCGAAGACTTCCAGGGAATCAAAAAGTGAGATAGCAGCAGTCTCGTCGCATGGGGAAAATCGGTAAAAACCGAACCAGAGTGCAGTACCGTGTTTTCAACACTAATTCGCCGCATATCATTTAGCGGGGCGCTGTTTTACACATCATAAAACGCCCTATAAAAAAGGGAGAGTAGGAGACGACTGAGACCCGACACAAAATTACGTTACGTAACGTTACGTAGGTTACGTAAACTGCTCAAACAAAAAGTATTTTCAACAAATGAAAGTTATCTAGTATAAAGCAGGATTTTGAGCATTACCTCCCTCCCACATATCCTCCTTGTACCTGATTAACGACATGAAACTTTATTGACAGTCCCTTTAACCCCACAGGTACCTGCGTTGTTACTACTTTGCTGTCCGCAGTCTGATCAACATTGGGGGTCTTAACGAGCCCCACACCATCTTTGAGATTGCCTTTCAGATGACTAACTTTTTCACGGGCGTCTTTGTGTTCTCCAGTCTGATTGGGCAGGTAACACAAAGATTACTTGTGGTCGTAGCACAGGAATAGTCCGGAGCGCCGGTAGTCGACGGCATCCCTCCGCCGCCTTGTTTTTGTCTCCTTTTTATGTTGTCAACTATAGTGAAGTAAACCCCGATAGATTAAAGGATCTCTCTGTTTTAGAACTGTTACTGACCGTTATCAGTCCTGATACTAACACCTTATCGTTGGCGAATGTCATCCCGTGGTTCCCTGTGGAGTCCTGGCTGTCAAAAAGTACTTTCCTTATCATATTTATCCTGCAGAAAAATCCAAATCTTCCTCAGTTTGTTTTTTTTTTTTTTACGTCCCCACGTCAGATGAGGGATGTCATTGGTGCCGCTACAGCAGGACAGACGTATTTCAGAGCCTCCATGGACAACACTGTGTCCTACATGGTGACCAATCGCATCCCCTATCTGGTGCAGAATCGAGTCCGTACCTGGTACACCTACACCTGGGACGCTCAGGGCATGTTGGGTTAGTTCAAGTGAACATTTCGTTCCTTCTAGACCTTAGTTTAGTGCCAGACTAAACACTTTGATTTTTTTTAATGATCCCAGATGAGTCCGAGTTGTTGGACAAAATGCCTTTGGTGATGAAGACTGCCATCGCTGTAGATATCAACCTGGCGACGTTTCAGAAGATTGATCTCTTCAAGGTGCTGGTTTATTAAGATACACAGGGAATGTCTCGATCAGATGTGAGGTCTGATGATCGGTTCTGGCGCTTTTTTTCCCTCAGGGCTGTGACCAGCAGATGTTGGTGGACATGCTGCTGAGACTCAAGTCCATTATCTATCTGCCCGGAGACTTTGTTGTAAAAAAAGTAAGTGCGCTTAAAAAAAGACAAAATATAATTTATATTCAAGCTGTTCTAAAAACACTTCTGCTGCCCCCTGCAGGGCGACATTGGTAAAGAGATGTACATCATCAAAAGTGGAGCGGTGCAGGTGGTGGGAGGACCTGACAACAGCATCGTGTTTGTCACTCTGAAGGCTGGCTGCGTGTTTGGAGAAATCAGGTCTGATGATGTTTAGCAGCTATTAACAAAATTAGTATGCTAACACATTTTTGGTGCAAGATAACTTTTTTCCCAAACTTTTATTAGCACATTTATTCCCCATTTATTTACCAACTGATTAATGTTGTATTTGAATTTCCTGTTGAATTTTAGCCTTTTACAGTCTTCCAAAGATGGGGGAAACAGGCGCACGGCTAACGTCAAAGCCTACGGCTTTGCTAATCTCTTTGTATTGGAGAAGAAGGACCTGTTTGACATCCTGGTCCACTATCCTGAGTCTCAAAAGGTGTTGGCCAGGAAGGGAAGGTGAGTGAGAATCCCAAAAGGTTGATATAAAAACCAAGCAGCCTGCACATTGCCCTGTGAACACAAGGTGGCACCAACAAGCGTTTTGGTTTTTTTTTTTTTTTCGTGTGAGTTATAATTCATATATTATCAAAGGTAAATAAATAGAATAACAATATAATGTTAAAAATGGTAATACTACATTGATTTAAAACCACATTTTTAAAGGTTTTGCACATTTTTACATATTTTTTTTTACCTAATTATGTTAAACTTTATATTTGAGTTTTAAATCATTTTGCCTCCTTGTGTCACATTCCATGTTACTTTGTTTTTGTTCATAATATTTGCACGTGGAAGATTACGTGTTTGAAGTATATAAATATCTATCAGTTTATTTTTTTTATTTAAGAGATAACATGCAGTATAAATATCTAAAATATATTTTTATTTAAGAGATAACATGCAGTATCATACTTAGCAATATACATAAATTAATATCAATCCTAAATTTTCATGAACCAACTAGCATTTTCGTTTCATGTATTCCTTCTGTGTGGCCAATAGAGGGCGCTGCCGTCTATTCAAATAATTGAAAAGTTTCGTTTGCAAACATATTTGCTCAAGAACAAACGATTCCAACAACTAGTTTGTACAACCAAAACGTTATAGTCGTGTAAATGATCAACAATTAGCCCTGTAGTTAGTTACAGTTAGCCCTGTCGTGTTTTTTTTTTTTTTTCTCCATTTGGCCACCGACGCGGTTTTTCCAATTTTCCCTGAGAGGGAACACCAGGAAGTGCCCTGTAAACGTTCCGGCTTTATCCCAAATTGCTTTTACGTCGGTAACCTGTGTGTGTGTAGGCAGCTAATGAAGGCCAAGGGCCCGGCAGCTGCTAAGGCTGAGGAGGACAAGAAGAAAGGTCTGGCTTTGTTTGTACCCAAACCAGCTACACCCAAACTGCTGCGTGCTGTTGGAGGAAGCTTGAACAAGACGGTCGTGGACCGAATAAAGGTAACTGCACCTCATTGGTCCGTCAAATCACGTGATTAATATCGCCAGTTGGCATTTATTTATAGAATTATCGGTTCTGTTTTTCAGGCTGCTGGCGGGAAGTGACTACCGTTTTTTATTTTTTATTGATCTCCTTTTTTGGAAGAAAATGCACAGCTTTGTTATAAATAGTTTTTCTGACTTTTGTTTTTCTCTTTTCCTATTTCTACTAACACTGTCATACCTCTCTGCGTGACCTTTTTGAATTCGCTTGAGCTGCTTTGCAGTAGTTAAATTTGGATTTATTGGTATATTTAAACTCATAGTGAAATTAATATATTTTTTGCTTTGTCTTTGCGTTTTTGGACTTTTTTTTTTCCACGTTATCGACCTGGATAATGATTGATATTATATTATATAAGGATTTTGTCCTTTTTTTTTATTCATCCTTTTTGATTAACTGTAAAGTGCGATCATATTTGAAACGATAGCCGTGTTTTCCAACCTTTTTTTTCTAGCCATGGCACATCATCCGAAATAAAACATAATCTTCTGCTACTTTCATCTTACTCGCAATATACTTGCTCAGTGTAAAACCAAGTCCTCTTTAGTTGAACACAACCCCGATTTACTCACAGGAATTGTTTGACACACAACAAGCTCTTCATCAGCTGAGTCTCTTTATTTTTTTTTAGCAATTATCGCCATCTGTAGCCCCCTAGTGGAAGATTATCTAATTGTTTGGACCCGCACATGACGGAAGTAAATAATATTTTTTTAATCAATTGCGTTGTGATTCTGTCGTCAACAGCCAACTGATGCGTAATGTTCGAAAATATATTAAGGTTATGGTAGATCAGTGGACTGTCTTTTTTGTATTTGCTTAAATAAATCTTTAAGTTCATTTTCTTTCATATGTTTTTCCCCCCTATGAAACAGTAGTAAGAAATACTGTACTCACACTGAGGTGTACAGTAATCCTGTTAGTCAGACTGATTAACAAGGAGCCAGGGACTGAAATAACCTTACTGCAGTCTCCTCATATATACTACCAGCTACATATTCATTCTATACTGGTTTGTAAAGTAGCGGTTCCCAAAATGGCTCCCTCCCGCTCCCCACTAGGGGGCGCTGGATTGTTGCAGGGGGTAGAGCAAAGAAAATATTTAATTTTTTTTCTTTACATGAGTCAAAGAGGGGAAATCGAACTGATTTGTTTTGACTTTTGATATAGTAGCTTTCAATATGCCGACGATAGCCTTATTTACTAAAGGTGGTTCTGTGAAAAGAGAAGTTTGGGAACGTCGTGTGTTAGGATTTATCGTTATAATGAGTCATCACTTCATTAAATATTAAAATCTTTTTTCCAAATGTCAGTGAAAGATTTTTACTTTGATCCCTGACGGACCTGTGTTGAAGACTGTAAGCCTTCATACACTGGTGTCATCACTCCCTGCAGCTGAGTTAGTCCTGGATTTTGTGACGATGCCAGCCAGGGAATTAAAGGGTCTAGGATTTTTGAATTGCTTCAGTCTGGAGTCGGGAGTTAGCACAGC